TCACCTACTTCAAAAAAAAGGACATTTGGCTCGCCTGAAAAGGTTTCACCTTTTTGAAAAAAATGCATTTGGGGCCTCTGAGAAGGTTTCACATTCTTAAAAAAAAACAATTGGGACCTCCGAGAAGCTTTCGCCTTCTTAAAAAAGCAGAGAGTTGGGACCCCTGAGAAGTTTTCACACTTTTAAAAAAAGAGTTGGGGCTCATGAGAAGGTTTTACATTCTTAAAAAAAACAATTGGGGCCTCCAGGAAGGTTTCACCTTCTTCAAAAAAAGAGCAGTTAGGGCCTCTAGGAAGGTTTCATCTTTTTGAAAAAAAAAATACAGTTGGGGACCCCGAGAAGGTTTCATATTCTTTTAAAAAAATCTATTTAGGGCCTTCAAGAAGGTTTCACATTCTTTAAAAAACAATGGGGCGATCGAGAAGGTTTCACATTCTTAAAAAAATGCAGTTGGGGCCCCTGAGAAGATTTTACCTTCTATAAAAAAAGACAAGTGGGATCACCGAGGAGGTTTCACTTAAAAAAAATGCACTTGCGGCCCCAAAAAGGTTTCACCTTGTTTAAAAAAAGATAGTTAGGACCCCCGAGAAGGTTTCACCTTCTTAAAAAAAAGAGAGACTCCCGAGAAGTTGTTTTCACATTATTAGAAAAAACAGTTGGGGCTTCCAGGAAAGTTTCACCTTCTTCAAAAAAAAAAGTACAGTTGGGGCCCCGGAGAAGGCTTCACTTTAAAAAAAAAATGCACTTGGTGCCCCCAAGGTTTCATATTCTTAAAAAAAACAGTTGTGGCGTCCGAGAAGGTTTCAGATTCTTAAGAAAACATTGGGGCCATTGAGAAGGTTTCTCTTTCTTAAAAAAGCAACTGGAGCCTCCGAGAAGCTTTCATCATCTTAAAAAAAAAGACAGTTGGGACCCCGGAGAAGTTTTCACATTCTTAATAAAAAACAGTTGGGATGCTGAGAAAGGTTTCACCTTCTTAAAAAAAAAAAGAAGCAATTAGGACCCCCCCCCCCGAATGTTTCACCTTCTTAGAGAAAATGGAGTTGAGGCTCCCGGGAAGGTTCCACAATCTTAAAAAAAAAAACAAAGATTATGTCAACAGAAATTCCCCTTCACCCTTGAAGTGTAATCCTGCAAATCCCGCCTTTTTAAAATATCATAAAATTGGATTTTGCGATTTGCGTTTTGTGACAACTTGCTCTATAAAGTAAAAACTGGTGGCGCATTAACACCCCGGTTTCGCACAAGTGTGGACAATATACAGTCGCGGCCAAAAAATCTTGGACTTCAATGTCATTCCACGTCATAGTGTGAAACACACTTACGTTTTGTAACCTTTTTTTTTAGTTTTGTCATTCTTGACACTGCGGGCATGCTAATACTGCTAGCAAAGCGTCAATACAGCATAGACTACATCAAAATTTTCAAAATGACACAAAAATGACGCCATTTACTGACATGGACTCGGATCTAATACACACACATAATTAGCTTACACTCAGGAAGTAATAACATTTTCGTATTTTGGTGGTTGTAACTGACAGTAAAAAGCAGATTAATCACTGTTTACTAATAAAGTATTAAATAACATGAACACTTTTTATACTTCGACCAGAATAAATTCAACCGTGATTTTAACTGAAGCAAAACGCCCTTTTTGCATTGTTATTTCGAGCTAATGAGATTACGTTGTTTTAAGGATGGAGAGCTCCACGTTTATAAGTCCACAAATTGACCATCTAGTGGCCAATCCAAATCCAAAAAATGTATTATAATATTAAGGGATTATAGGAAGAATATATTCGCGCCAGCTACGAGAATATTCTTCCCTCGGAGTAATAAAGTCACACTCTCTTAAAGAACAAAAACTCCAAGTTTAGAAGTAATCAGACTAAAAACTAATCAAAAAAATCAAATTAACAAGAAAATTCTCTACTAGAATATATTCGCGCGAAGTTCAGGGTGGTGCGAGAATATTCTTCGGTGGGTGTTTCCGGCGATTGATTTGCCGGAAACCCTGCGTCTTACGGCGATGATTAAAATCGTAATCAGACGCGTCGCTATCCTTCGATAGTAGGTAACGTTCTATAATTCAAATAATAACCTGCTTCCTCGTTCCTATACTTTGACTCCTTTATTCGAATTCCCAGCCATCATTAAACGGGAAAATCTGACTCGTCGTTGAGCGCACAATATTCCCACTCTTTGTTGAATTGTAATAATAGCCGGTCGCTTGAGAGGCTTACAGGAAGTGAAATTAACTTCCCACCGCTGATTTTTAACAGTTTGTCGAATACTCTTTGTCGGTTGGCATTGTGCAGGTGGTGTGCCGCCACAAAAGAATTTTTTTCTTTGCTTGAGTTGAAAGTGTGGCGGCGAAACACTCGATATTGACTTTTGAATAGTTTATACATGTAACGTACGAGCCCATATCGCTTATGACAAAATCGATTTAAAAAATATTCACTTGCCATATGTCGCCGAAATTGATTATAATTTAGAATTCTATATTATGGTAATAATGTAAAGAAGTCGATAGACAGGCCGGCTGCTCTAGATTCGGTCGTGAGGACTTCAGGTACCTGTTGAAGATACACAAAAGCTAAGAAAATATTCTGTCGTCTTGCGCCAGGACTCGAATAAGTAGCAATTGTTTATTTCAACAGAGTACTCTCCTGGGAGCCCTCAGTATTAACTATTCTAAATAAAATTCTCTCCTTTAAAATCAATTTTACTCGAGAAAGAGCTGAACGGTGTTCTCTGAAAATTACGAAATTTTTAGAATGAAGAGAAATTAAGGAACAACGAAATGTATTCAAGTTGAAAGAAGACAATTGCTCTTAAAAGGAATATTTTTCTTGAGTTTCAATATTTCCAAAGCTTTGATGATAATCTGCTAGAAACCCAACGCACCATGATATTTGTTTGAATATAAATTCTTCAAACGCGCTCAGATGAATAGAACCAATTTTCTCCTTATAGTAAATCTGATAACCATAACTTAAGTGAGCGGTGTCTAAAGCTTGAATGCAAATTCTTTCCAAAGCTCGAACTTTAAAAGAACTTTTTTCAAAAAATAAACGAGTAATATAATGTAACAAAAAAACTGTACAGCTTCGTTATGACACTATCACGTCATCAATCATTTGTATCGCAAAAATATCGATTTGATATATTTAATTTTCTAATAGTTTTTAATGACAAAGTGGTAATATAGTCACTCTTCGCAGAATTTTTATCGGTATCGTTATAAAACTTTGAGTATGTCTCATCGTTTAATATCGTTTCCAAAACATATAGCAGTTTAAAATTCTGTTTAATTTACACCTGAAAAATTTTGCGTTAACCAATTTTTTGTGCGCGCTTTGTGAATACATATTTTATTTCTATGGAAAAATTATTTGTCAGGCGTTCCTGAAAGTTTTATAATAACTATATTCGTTTTACCGGAAATTACACCTTAATGTTTGCTGGTGTAAACCTTTTAAAGTAAAATTTTCCAATATAAAGTTTTATATCGAGAAGATTGATGATTCATAGTTGCACGTATTTATTGATTTGCGTGCTGCCGAGAAAATCAAATAATACAAAAATAACGATTTGTACAAATGTGAACATATTATATTAAAGGGTTACGTGAAAAGGGGTAAAAAACAGCGGCGGTCGGTCTTCCGAAAAAATCGATGATAAAATGATGGCTTGCAGAGGTTAGGGAAAAAACTAACTGCAGCTTTATTTTATATTATTTCTAGAATGTGTTTCCTGGGTATGAAAGAGGAAGAATCACAGTGTGTTTGTATAGTTTTAGTTTTGTAAAATGATCAAATTTTTGTTTGAATTTTAATACCAAATTATAAAATTATTTAAACTATGGAAAACTGGAATGAATATATTCATTAACATTAATATTATGCGGAATGCTATAGAGCAAAAACTGATAAAAACAAATAGATTTCATGGTAGCCCTTTATAACAATAACAACAAAGTATACAAATTTAAATAAAAATACATTATTTTGAATTAATAAATACAAAATACCGTCACACATCCAATCATGGAAACGTTAATAATGTTACGTTAGCTCTCATTATAACCAAAATAGTTAATGTGTCTGACTTGTTACGATTAGAGTTTTTTTATGCCTCGAAACAAATTCACAAAATACGTAGTAATTCCAGTTTGTCGACATTTACGGGCTGCTCACAAGATTAAATGTCACGTATAATTTCATACTCGAATCACCCTAGTTGTATGTGTAGGTAATTTAAATATTACGTGTATTCGCCATATTACAAAAGCACGTTACAAAAAGCCGTAAAGTCATTTACACAGAAGCTGCAGAGCGTTTACTGGATCAATGTGTGTTAGACGAGGTGGTTTAATAAATAACTTTTATGAAGTAGGGATAAATATAGTAATTGTGATGTGCACAATGTGACACTAAATAATTGTTCTTGTGTTATCATTTTGCGTCGTCTTTAATTTTTTAACATTTATAAAAAACAATTGTAAAACATGAGTGTAGGAAAAGTACAAAAAATCGTTGTGTAATAAATTTTACAACCTGTGTACAAGTTACATTTAGTATTTGGATGTAATCGGTTCAGTAGTTCGTGAATTATCTGTTAAGAAACGGGAAACGGAGTGAGACGTTAAAAAAACATGAAATTAGGCATTCGCCAAGTGACCCTATTACAATATTTTCCTCGGCTAGAGCGGAGCATCTCCATGGAACGAGACATAAAAACATAAGCAAATCGCATTTCTTGGAAATATCGTCGAAAAAGGAAAGAAAATCAAGATAATAACTAAGTGATGTCTGTCAGAAATATTTACGATACATTAAAATATTGGGGGTATAAATCTGTTTATTGTAAACTCGTAATGATCGTGGGAGTCGAGCCGGTCGCTTCGGCGGTTTCCGCGTCCGTTCGTGCGTTCTTGGTCCATTCGTAACATGGACTTGGTTTTACAGAATCAGTTTAGTACTGATACAACCGCCGCGAGAGGGAGTTCGTAAACTTGACATTGGAGAGGCCAAAAACACGCTCGCAACAACTCGCGTTCCGAAAATGAAAATGTGAAAATTCCTGCAGACTCTGAAGAAGTAACCGGATAAAAGCAAGTGCTGAAGAAAATGGTATTGTTTGTGTTGCGTGATGCCTAAGTGATTTAAAATGACTTCCTGGATCGTCCTTACGGTTATCCTGTTCGGAATCCTCGCAGTTTATGCGGATAATTTAGGTAAATTTTTTATGCGTTCAGTGTTTCGCATCAAATGAGGACCTAAAAAATTTCACGTGGAAGGTTCAAATTGATGTTTATTAAAGCACTTTTTTAATCAGGTGTTCTCCATGTAAATTTCGACGCAAGAAAATTGCAAGCTTAACTTAACTGAAAAAGATTTCGAGAAATGTAATTAAAGTCATTCCTAATTTACTCGCTCCGGAATAAATTTCTTTTTGTGCATTTTTGACAAAAACCGTCTTGAATGACCCGCCTGCATGACGCTTAAGCATAATTACCGGAATTTTAATCCGATTTTTTTCGGCAAACACCGGCTTCATTCATAAGAAAACCGACATCTTACAACATTAACGACTAGTCCATTCATGGAAACATCATCGCGAGGCGAGAGGTGTGTGCCTCATTAATTATTTATAAATTACCGCTATTGTAAGAATTAAATACCCAAAACGGACATTTCACAAATCCGATTGCTCATTTTTCCGTATACCAAATTCGGGACACCGTTACCTCCAAATTTCAAACACCCTGACGTCATGCATACAATTTTGCGGACCGAACCTCCACGCCAAGGATTTACGTTTCAATTAGAGGAAATCGCTTGATTAATGCTGCTTTTAAGCAAAGGTTACGTTTTTTCGCAACCATGTATGGTCACGCTGCAATTTTCTTGCTCCTTTAAACCCTAGTAAATGTGATTGATGTCACTTCCAGCAAAACCGCCGCTCAACCAATTTTTCCTTCACTCTTATCGATAATAACACCGAATACAGTATTGTGTCATAAAGGCACTTTAAACCGCCGTGCATGCCAAATTTTACTGAATTAATAAATTTCAGTTTATTATTTCGCACTCATTGCTCCTATAGATTATGAAAAAGTAGGTACTCCTATTCAACCATATATAAATTTAAAACAATAATCAAAATTTATTTGTTTATCTCTTCCAAATCTTGATGACGTTACCTCATTTTTTCGAATTGTTTATACAGGATATCTCAGAAAGAAATACACATAGTACTGATGTTATTAGTGTTATAATGTACAATATAATGAACACAACACTTTGGTTTGTAATCCTGTTACCACCCTCAACGTCACTGCGGGATGGAACAGCGGGAGGAACGCAGAACTTCCCAAGCAAACTGTACGTATCCAAATTGATATATTTATCCCCACTAAAAATTTGATGACGTCATTGCAAAATTTTAGCGTCCGGTGTAGTTTTGACGTCATTTTAACGTTTCTTCTGTTAAAATAGCAATATTGACCATCATTAACGTTGATTTTAGGTTATCTGGGTAAAATCGACGTACTTCATTGAATTCACGTAATGCCTTTAACATAATTTTGTAAACGCCGTTGTTTTTATGTTTTCGTTAAATACAGATTAGGAGTTAATTTTATAGGTGTATTATATAACGTGTCGATTAAAAGTTGGAAATAAACCTAGTATATACGTACGAGAGTGAATTAAAATAAGCGAAAATGCAAAATATGCTTGGCCTAGCAATAAAATACTAACAAAAGACTTGAATAAAAGGAAACAATATAGAGAATAGCGCTGACACAAGACAGACTGGCTAAATTGAAACTTGCATAACGTGGATAAAAACAAGAAAACGGTACGCCGAATAAATTTAATATGAATTCTGGTAATATGGCTCTTTGTAAGTTTTTTCTCGAGTATGTATGGTCACGGTGCAGTTTCTTTCTTAAACCCGTCGCAAACGTGATTGATGTCACTTCCGGCAAAACGGGCGCGCGGCGCGATTTTTCGTTTTATTGTTGTAATTAATAACGAATACAATATGCAATTATCTCGGGCCACAGGTTGAGTTTAACCCGAGCATAAATTCCATCTTGCAATCTTGAAGATAATTTCGTGTTTTAATTTGAAGGAGGTAACTTTTTGTTTCGAGCTTGAGCATTAAAAGTTTGAAAGAAGTGCAATAAAAAATAATGATGGTGGCCGTATTGAAATGGCGGGCATATTGAGAAGGAATATTTTGGAGAAGTTAATGTAAACATTTATGCGAGCATTACGAAAAAGGCGCTGATTTGTGTTGTTTGCTTTTTGTGTATGTAGATTGTTCTGAGGTCGAGAAAGCCCGCTGTTGCGGCAACTTTCTTTCATTATGTAATAACAAATTCTTCAATTGTTTATTTTATCGATTTTGTTTTTTTGTTGTTTTTGGCTTGACGTTGGCGTTGGCACAACGTTTCGGATTCGGTGTAATTGCGAATATATTGCAGATGGAAGTATCTAGAGTCACGATCGCGATTTAATTCCGCCATCGTTTAAGCTCTATAAAAATTCTTCAAGTGTTTCAGCGCATAAAACCGAAATTTACATAATTTCTTTCATGTCTTTCTGACAGACATGTAATAGTTCAGAACATAACGTTATTGTTACTCTAACTTTATAACAAGCGAGGTAATAAGAAACTTCCACATACAACCTAAACTTTTATAATTCCATGTTCTTAGTTTTTAGCTGGATAAGCCGAATTCTACAGCTTTATGTTCCGAGCTATTAAAATCTTATTATTTTATGTTCCTGCCACTGTCGTTTTGTTCTAGCTGCTTGCTCATTCTTTGCTTTTATGTTTCTTGTTTTCAAACAAAATATTTTCATTCGGTTTCTGGCTTAATGAACTTTCCGTTAGTCTCGCTATTACGATCACTGTTTTTATGACCCAACCTCAAATTACTAGCGTTTTAAGATACTGCGCTTGCCACTGCATTTCTACCAAGACTTGAAAAATTGACGTTAATTTGACGTCGTCATGGAACATACAACAGATGTACTTCGGAAAATCCACTGATTAGACGTCGCTCAAAATATGTAGCACAATATAAATGACGTTACGCTGAGGTTGATTTTACGTTACTCCCACATGTCCAGTAATGATAGATTTTGACGCGGTTCAAGCAATAATATCAATATTGTCGGCCAATTGACGCGTGTTTAACGTCATTTTGACGTTTCATTTAGTTAAAAATAATCTAAATTGAGTCAGAATAGTATTTCCAAACAACATTGCTATTATAATTAACCAGCGAAATTTTTTCACGTTGTTTTAACGTTTATTGTGTTATTTGAATGATAATTAAAATCTAGTAACCCATTCTTGATTTATTAATTCATTCTTTCTTAGAATAAATGATAAAATTTGTCTTCTGCGAATTTTATTTTTATTATGATAACCTCTATAACTCAAAATAAAGATAGGCTGGTGTGGAGTGTTAAATTACAGATAAAAATGTTGTGATGACTTTGTCAGTTTTTGTGGTAATTGATAAAAAATTATTTACAATTTTTGCGATAATCTTAAAAATTTTGATTTTTTTTTTTCAAAAAATCTTTGTCCAAAGGTGACGTTTATTTAACGTTACCTTGTCATTACTGGGACGTGGGTTATGTTGTTCTTGGTCGCATGACAGAGTTTCTAGTGTAAAGACGTTATATTTCCACGTTATTTTAACGTTTATTTTGTTACGCCGATTTTACGTTATATTAGCAAAATTCTCGTAATTAATAAAATTTTGCACAAAATTAAACGTTATTTTTCCATCGAAAACTGCTTAAGTTAAAATTACCTCAACTAACGCCTGGGATTTAAGTTCCATTTTTCTGAGTGCCGTTTAAAACAGCGGTTGCGGGTTTCCCCTAAAATGCACGTGCACATTATGAGCACTGTTTTTAGTTTTGAAAATAATGCGAAGCGATCCCCGCAGCGCCAAATAGAGCACTAAAATCAGACCCGAAATCTATAAATTCGAAGTTTTCTCTTTGCGGGTGATCATCGAATGCAATAAAGCGGTTGAAGTATCGTTTCTTCAGTACAATTTTATTTTGTGTGGTGTTAATATGATCGGTGAAGCAGCGCCGAAACCCGTGGCTGAGGTAAATTGACTCGGCAAGTGTCTGGATTTGATAGTAACGTACACCGGAAGCTCCGGCGTTGTGCAAATAGTTTATCAGTGTGTAAAACTACTACGGTTAAAACCGGCTGAAGGATGAACCTAGAATGTGTCAGCAATACTTCGATTACTCTTTGGGCTTTAAAAACAAAAAATTAATTAATTTGGTAGTAAAAAGTACCCGTTGATGTCAACATTTCGGAAATTAATCATTCAGTCAGTTGGTGTTTGTACCTAACAGGGTTAAGTGTAATAGGTAGGACCAGCTGGGATCATCATCCGTTATCACTTTGAAATGATTTGTCTTAGTCAGCAAAACGGAAAAATGTAAATAATCATGTGAATTTTTATGGACAACGCTCCATTTTAGCCCCACGTGTTATCGCTCATTTTGCAGGCTGCCAAAATTTTCGTTATTGCTTTATGTAAATCTCTTCAGTATAGAGGGCATTAAATCGGTATTGAAGTTACGCTCTCAGTGAATTTTATATAGAGATTTATATCGCATCAATTTATGCGTCCACGTGATCGAACGTGTTAACGGTACTTCCGATTGCAGCAATCGATCGGTTGATTCGCGATGTTGTTTTATAGTTTAAAATCAGATGGCGTTGCCATAGGTATCCTCCACACGTATATGAGACAAGTCCGCTATGAATTCCGCTCACGTACTACAATACAATCTGTATCTGGTGCATGCCGCATATTTCATCTTGCGGCATCTCAGAAGACAAACTGACCCTCGTCGCCGTTGCTGCCGATTCCCACGTATACGTCTTTAAAAATATCAATTTACACCGGCGAATGCACTCCGTTTTAAATTACTCGGCCACCGTTTAAACTTCTTTTCTCCGAAATTCTCCGCCAAATTGTGCTGTCCGTCCCTTGTATTTATGGCCTTTTTGGGGACGCTGTGCTTTTTAACAATTTGTTTTCAAACGCACCGAAATTCACTCCATCGCTCATTCTACTCTTGACAAACTTAATTATACCACATTTAAGTCGAGGTGCCGGTTACAAATTGCTCGGTCACTTAGGCTTGCATAATACAACGGCACTGCCGCCAAAAC